TTTCAATTTAATCAGTGATATTGACTGTATTATCTGCCCCTTATCCCCTGGCAACCCACCCTATACTTGTAGAAACACAAAGATGCCAATAAAATAATTAACAGTACATATGATTTAATTATTTAGATAAATACAAGTGGCAAAATAATTTGAAAGGAAAAGAAAACAAGACAAGATCATAGAGGAGAAAAAAAGCAAAGAGACAAATAAAAAAATAGAGAAAGTAAAGCAAAAAAAAAAATACAAATTAAAAAAAATGGAGAAAATAAAACAAAAAACTTGTGATATGAATGGTCAGCGTGATAACCTGCATTTAAGCACTGCCTGCACTACAGCGGGTCACAGTCTGAGGAGTGTGTGCCTGCATGTTTACCCACTGAAGCATGCACTTAATGAACCTAGGTACACACATGTGTAAATGCGTCTCCCCAATAACAATCCATGACTTACTGGCCCTTATTCTTTTGTAAAGATGTCCATCACTCAAACAGATTCTGGAAAATTTGTAATTGTAATAAAGAAAAAGGAAAATAGTTGTACTTTGTCAACTGTGGAAAATGCATTCATTTACCTTGTGTATTACATGTAAGAGCATCCATTAATATCTCACAAATCAAGTGATTTTTAACATGCATTCTCACAGCTTGAAGTGTCTCGTTTCCAGGATTAAAGACACTGTTAGACTGGTGTATATGTGATTGGGATACAAGTTACAGATTCATATCTATCAGCTCCCTGTTGTGCAAATGCAACATGAGGCACGTACGAATCCTCACTTCAGCAACCATGTTCCATTTTACTGTCTTAACAGTATAGTTTTAGTACTTTTCGTTCCAGTAAAAATGTCTGATTGCCCTTGTTTCAGTGACATTCACACATGGCTGCTGCTCTGTGCAATTTAAGCCTTCTTGCTCACTCAACCATCTCTGCAGAGCTTGAAAGGAGTTGAGAGCGTGGTGTGCAACCATCTGTGTAAAACCCGACTGAAGAGGGTGCATTGTATGCCGTGGTAGGCTCCAGATAAAGAAGTATTAAAGATGGATGAATGGAAGTTAACTACCTTAAAACAATCTGAAAGCAAAGCAGATTTTATTGTTTATCTGAGGTGCATGAGTAAAAAAAATGTGTTGCTGTCAGGTGCAGCAAACTGAAAAGAAGCAGATGTGAAACAAAAGAATGAAAAAACAGAAACAGAGTTAGACTGGCTGAGATGAGATAGTTGGTGACATTCAGGCTGTGATAGGATGGGTAGAGGTCACATAGGTCATCCTTGATCCTGAGTTGATTGTTCTTACCTGGCACACCTTCAGCCCTGGGAGACACACAAGTAGCTATTGCTCATGGATGTGAGGTGAAAACCCAAAAAAGCACTTGGCTCGATTATCAGTATCTGTATTTTTTATCTTCCACCTCATGTTACACGTCTGCTTTCGGCGCTTTTAGTCTCATTGCTTTTATATGCAAAATTATGGGACGAACTGGAGCTGCTGTGACAGAATGATCTGTAAATTTCCCCAGTGAGGAATCAATAAAGTTGATCTTATCTTATCTTATCAGGGTTTTAAAACTAAGATCTCAAAGTACTGTGAAACTGTAAACGTTGAGCAGATTGAGGTTAGACACATGTTCGAAAGATTTTGTTTTTAAGCTTTGTTACAGATAATTGGCTTTCATGAACTTGAGCTGTTTTGTGTGTGTATGTGCATGTTTACGGCTTCGGTTTTTCAAAATCTGTAAACTGAAAAACTATCAATCTTCAACTAACTTTAGGTCAGTTTTTATATGCATAACTGTGATGTCACTATCCAAAAGATTTTCAGTTTCTGTTTGCCTAGTTTCTTTGTCTTTGTATTTTGTTAATTGTATCGAGATTATTCATTAATTTGGACTTTGTTCCGTTTCTTTGTGTTTACTTTTGTTCAATGGATTGTACATTATATACTGTATTGTTCAATAAAGGTTGACTGAGGGAAGAACAAAAAAACAAAAAACAAACGCAGCAGCTGCTTTATGAAAAATTTGGAAACAGCGCCACATCTACATTGACTTACACTGTGTGGCCACATGTGGTATTGCAGCTCCGGGTATTCGTTACCGCTTCCTGGTTCAACGCTCTCAACACAACACCGAAAAAAAATAAATAGTTCATCATACTAAATCAGAAACGTTTAGATTCCTGCAATATAAAGTATTTATTTTGAAAACTATATTATATATACAGTCAGGAGGGAGTTTTTGTGTGACGAGCACAATACTAGCTAGCCCCGCCCCTCCCGTAGCGACATCCTGCTCACCCAACGAACAAACGTATTTCCCGTCACGCCATTTTCCATCGACGACCGAGTGGAACAAACCAGCGGGACGAGCGCCGATTTTCTGAGCTGTGAGCTGCACCAAACACGGTAGAGTTTGTACAAAATGCATCATAGTGTGTCGTACTGTACCGTTGACAAAATATCGTGTTTGGGCCGACTAGCCGTTTTATTGCATCGCACCAGTTCATTGTGCGGTAGGATTTCTGTGTGTTAGCCGAGTCCCGCCGCCGCCGCCGCACGGTAGGCCTCGAGCAGGCGACAGCCATTTTAGCAATCCTTTCATACATATGAGCTATCGCCGCGGAGTAAAACTGAAGCACTATTTAATGTTTTACAAGAAACTACACATTCACTAGGGAGCATATATATTAGGTAAATCGATAAGTTGCGCTGAATATTAATTCTACATGATCGGGGTTTAGGTTTAGCAAACGTGCACAGCATTTTTCCGGTTAAGCTAACGTTAGCATAGGCGGCGAATCCAACAGAAAAGTAGGCCATGCGTCTTCGGGTTGCCAACCATTGAAAGGAACATGTTGTAATTGTGGTTTGTGGGTTAATAAAGTCAGTTTTTAAAATAACGTCAGAACCGCTAAATCCATTTGAGCTCATTCAAACGTCGAAAATTTAACCGGGAACATGTATTATGAAAGATCAATCCGCGTGAACTATAAAAACAGTATAAAGTCATAAAATGGTTTTCCACTTTACAGCTTAGTTTAAACTACAGGTTCAGGATTGTTATTAAAAAAAAATTGAAATAAAAAAAAAAAACATCAATGGTGCACATGGACTTTCACCCGTTTAGTTATTGTTGAGCCTATGAATAGTCTGTCTTAACGCTGGGTTTGAAGTTTCTGCATAATTAATAATAACGTCTCTACCCTTGTCCATCGTTTCCAGATAGTCATGCATCGTGACTGTCCTCTTGACTGCAAGGTCTATGTTGGGAACCTGGGCAACAATGGGAACAAGACGGAGCTAGAGAGGGCGTTTGGCTACTATGGTCCTCTCCGCAGCGTCTGGGTGGCCAGGAACCCCCCAGGCTTCGCCTTTGTAGAATTTGAAGATCCCAGAGATGCAACTGATGCAGTGCGTGAGCTCGATGGCAGGTAAACAGCGAGCTGAACTGATTTTGATGTAAAGCAGCTGATAGAAGAGTAATGCAATTTGTCTTGCCATAGCTTCAAGGGTTTGTGATGTCTTGCTGTTTTGTAGGACACTGTGCGGGTGCCGGGTGCGAGTGGAGCTGTCCAATGGTGAGAAGCGGAGCCGCACTCGCGGTGCTCCTCCTTCGTGGAGCAGGCGTCCTCGAGACCGAGATGACTACAGGCGTCGTAGCCCTCCACCCAGGCGAAGGTGACCTACATGTTATTGTTTGACCGTGGCCTGCAGATACAGTATTCAGTTTGTTTTGTATTTTAATACGGTTTTGTAACTTACTGATTCAACTCTCTTACCCACAGTATAGTTCCTGGTAATTGCTTATGGTTTTCCAGTCTAGGCATTACTAGTGTTTGTGACCTTTCTGCTGATTATACATTTGTGACTGTTGCAATGTCTAAGGCTTGCAGTTTCATCTTCATTGACATTATTGATCATTTTATGCAAGGAGACAAACAGATAAGCATTCATAACTACATGTTTAAATATAACGTGGGCATAGGACTTTATGCTAGGTTATGAAGGGATGTCTTTCTATTGCAAAATGCATCTAAAATATGGCCTGCAAGACCTTACTTTTGCTTTAGGCACTAATGCTTCTTTTGAGGTGTACATTTTTTTGTGCACTCTCAAAGTTTCTGCATTTAAATTGCTTTGCAATGGCGAAATAGGTATGTGGAACAGGTTTAGACAGTTCCTATGTTGGAAAAAGTATAACCTGTTTAAAATTTGGGGGGGATGAAAGTGCCAAATGTAATGCAATTTTTTCTTTTTGTTTGAGGATGCTTTTTATTTTTCATCTATATTAATAAGAATGAAACCCGTTGCAGAGCCACCACCATGCCTCTTCTCACCACCCTCTGAGTCAATCAACTAGTCCTCTTTCAGCATCATGTGACTGCTGATCATCGTGCCCAAATCAGCTTGGCTGGTGCTGTCACATGACCCAGGCATGGCCAGTCGTCAGGTTGCACCAGCCCATTGGTTCCTCAGCATGCCGTTCTCAACCTCCTCCTCCTTCAGCCTTAACCCAAACGGCAGCGGCCCACCTCACATTCCCGACCAATCAGCGTATTACGTTCCCAAATGTCTACAACCTACCAGCAGCAGCCTTCGGCTAACCAATTAAAGCAGGAAAAAAGCCACAGCCAGCCCCCATCTGCCTGCCACCTAATCACCTTGCAGCATCTGGCCAGTCCTATTCAGCCAATTCTACCCACCCGGCCGACAGTCTGCCTCCCTTTCGTCATATCTAGCTTGTTGAAAACCAAAAATACTAGTAAGTTTTCCTGCTTCATTCAGTACACTGCTGATTACAGTTTTGAAAGTGAAGAGACAGCTGGTTTGAAAAGGTTGTTCTTTTTTATTATTTGATTCATAAGTTTGTCATTTTGTCGTCCACCATTTCTGTAGTCCTTGTTTCAAAAGGGATGGGTTCAGCATCAAATATCTGGAACTTGATGTGTCCAGAGATTTCGCTGATAGATAATCATCTGGTATGTCTCGGGGCTCTGAGCAGAATTTTTAGTCACACCAATCCAAACTCTTCTCAACCCCCCTATGAATATCAAATATTTTTTGTGCTGGTCTTAAGAGCCCTTAGTTTGGTTGTTTCTCAAAACTTATTTCCTATGGAGAAACATTTTGGATTTTATTTGGCTTTTGATTTCTCTATGTTCTCCTTTAAGTGCACTGGACCGGTGTCATACAGACGGTGGCCCCTGTGTGTTCATTTGAATTCCTCACACTAGGGCCAGCTCACAGTACAATGCTTAATCTTCTAAGAGGGGAAATGCTGCTAATTAGCTTACTTTGATTTTCTGTGAGAATTAGCATCTTTCTATATATTAATTGTAGGACACGCACACACTTATCTACCGCTTCAAATTATGAACTGTAGTAGAATTCATTCATAGACGTGCATGGTACTGTGGGATAGGCGAGGGGTGATTCCTAAGCGCCTGCCGTCTTTATGCGCTCGGTCCATTGCCAGTGAGCTCTGTTGCTCCAATCGAGACAATATTTTTTTTTTTCCCTGGAAGAACACAAAGTCTTACTTACATTTTGAGTAACTAAGATAGACAAAGGGCTGTGCTGAAGGGGCCCAGTGTAATAAACTAAAAGGAGTAAAATAATGTGGAACTCTACAGGGTGATCAAGGCATCTGTCTTTGTTCCTAACAATCTTTGTGTTTTCCCCGCGCAGATCTCCACGCAGGCGGAGCTTCAGCCGCAGCCGTAGCAGGTACGTCAGCTTTCAGATCGTCCTCCATACGAAGAAGAAGCAAATGAACTCAATCCCAAAACTTCAGAGTTGTCTGTTTATTGAGTACACCTAGCTAAAACACAGGCGGTGTATTACAGCAGACCTTAGCTTTACGATAAGTTAAAATGATGGTTTTTATTGAAAATGTGTTTGAGGGATGTTTGTTCCACTTTGACCGTTTTAGAGGCTTCTGGTGCTGTTATTGGATTTATATCATAATAAATCATTTGTGGGCACATGTTTAGGAGATGCATATTGTGTATAATTACTTTGTGCATGAAATTTCATGCACTTGATTGGATATGAAACAGTTGGTCAGAGCTGTGTTTTTATTTTATTTTTTGACAGTAAATGATGTTAATGTCATGGGTTTGGCTTTTTCAGGTCTTTCTCCAGAGACAGGAGGAGAGACAGGTCCATCTCCAGGGACAGGAACCACAAACCTTCGAGGTCTTTCTCCCGATCAAGGAGGTAACTGACACCTGTGGAGCTTTTTAAAGATCGTTTCTGTCCTCGGAGATGTGTGATCATTTCATGTGAAATATGATTTCCAAGCTATTGTAGATTGTTGGTGCTGTACCACTGAAATCCTCAATACCAATCTAATACCCCAGTTAAAAAATATTTAAAAAAAACTAATGTATTTCTGTCAACTCTTTTATCTGGAAAAAAAAATTGAAGCTGTCAGGTTTTAAAAAACAAACAATAACAGTGGTGTGTATGTAACTATGTTGTGTTTTTTGTTTTTAAATGTTGGCAAATCATTTTCACTGCATTGCCCAGTTGTTTGATAAGATAACAACAATGTAAGTAGTTGTATTTAATATATAAAAGAAACATTAACAGTACAAAAAAAAAGTTTAATTTGGCTTTCAGTTATTTAAAACAAGCAGCCAACACTGTGCTTTGAAACTCACTCGTTTAGTTTCCTTGTGAGGACTTTGATGTGAGTTTTTGTCATTTTCTGAGCCTGTGAAAAGCTTCCCGTACAGTTGGCTCAGCGTTTGGTTTGTTGCTCTACTTTCTCTTGAACCTGCTCATAATCATGCTGATGTTGTCTAAAGAGCATTAGCACACAACATGCCAACACTGTAACACACTTACTGCGCAAGTACACAAGGGTCAGTGCGACGTACATTTCATCATCTCCCCAAGTCACAGAGAGTTTGCGGTGACGCTGCTGCGCATCTCAGCGTGCAGCCCAAAGTTTGCTGTTGCTACGTTAGCATAACAAGCTACATAAGCCTTTGTAACTATTGCGTGTGTGTAGAATTGCCTTGCAGTAGCATCACAGGCTGTAGGTTGGATGACGCGTACATGCACCTGACAGTGGGTTCCCTAAAGTACATGGGCTGCATTTCATATTTTCAGATCAACTTCTCTAGATGTCAGTTCACCACTAAGAGCAGTGCTGCACACACACATCCTGTAGTTGAAGCTTGCACTGCTGGTGATGATTCAGGGGCAGCTTGCTCAGTAATTAACAATGTTTTTTTCTCCTTTTCTTACAGCCGCTCCAGGTCTAATGACAGAAAATGAAAGTCTGTCATGTGTAAGGGGAGCTGAAGATGAACGGTTGTACAGCCTTTGCCGTTTCATATGATGGACTTCAACATGGCCGTGTTGCCATTTTTTGTTTGTGCGTGTTTTTTTTT